TTCATGGTATCCAGAAGAGGGATTGAGGTCAACCCTGAGAAGATCAAAGCAGTAGCCGAGATGGAACCACCGAAGTCGGTAAAAGATGTACAGAGGTTAACGGGGAGAGTAGCAGCTCTGCATAGATTCATCTCAAAATCAGCAGATAAATGCTTGCCGTTCTTCAAGATTATGAGATTGGCAGCCCAGAAGGATGAATCTGGCAAACAAAAAAAGTTTGAATGGAATTCAGAATGCCAAGATGCATTTGACGAGCTGAAGTCATATCTTAGCTCACCTCCTTTGCTAACAAAGGCCGATGATGGAGAAATCCTTTACTTGTACCTCGGCATATCAGATGAAACTATCAGTTCTGTGCTAATAAGGGAAGAGAGGAAGCAACAGAAACCAGTTTACTACATCAGTAGTGTGTTACATGGAGCTGAAGTCAGATATTCCATTGCTGAGAAAGCAGCCTTAGCAGTTGTCACTTCGGCAAGGAAACTGAGACCGTACTTTCAATCACACCCAATCATAGTCCTCACGGACCAGCCGCTCAGACAAATTTTGCAGAAGCCAGAGTGTTCAGGGAGATTGATCAAATGAGCAGTCGAACTGAGCGAATTCGAGCTCACATTTCAGTAGAGGTCAGCAATCCGAGCTCAGGCCCTTGCCGATTTCATAGTAGAATGCACCTCAGCTCACTATGATTCCCAGTCTGAGGTGGACAGTTGGATTCTGTATGTCAACGGCGCATTAAGTAGCAAAGGTTCTGGCGCTGGTGCACTCTTACTTGGCCCAGATGGGTATCGAAGTGAACACGCTCTAAAATTTAATTTTGATGCCATCAACAATATGGCCGAATACGAAGCCCTGCTGCTCGGCTTACAGCTAGCGACAGAATTGAAGGTTGAAGCGATACAAATATACAGTGATTCACAGCTATTAGTCAATCAGGTTAACTCAATCTGCGAAGTGGTCGATCCTGTTATGATGAAGTACGCAACTCTGGTGGCTGAACTGAAATCCAAATTCCAGAAATTCCGCTTAAGCAAAATCCCTCGAGCTGAAAATGAGCAAGCAGACTCCCTTTCCAAGTTTGCTTCTGATGGCAACCAAAGCTCCAGATTGGTCTTTGTAGAAATCCTGGACGAGCCTAGCTTCTTGAAACCAGGAATGATGGAGGTCAGCACAGATCCTAGCTCATCGAGCTAGACAGATCCAATTATCTCGTTTCTCCGGGATAGCACAGTGCCTGCGGATAAACAGGAAGAGATGAGGTTGAGGAAGAAGGCATCTCGGTATACCCTTGTTAATGATGTCCTTTATAAGAGATTTTTCTCACTCCCTCTGCTCCACTGCCTAACCCCTTACGAGGCCGAATACGCACTTCAGGAGGTGCATGAAGGTGTCTGCGGGAGTCACGTAGGTGCTCGAACTTTGGCCCATAAAGTCCTTAGACAAGGTTATTATTGGCCCAACATGTATAAGGATGCCACCTAGTTCGTACAGAGGTGTCAGAAGTGTCAGTTCTTCGCACATCTAATCCACCAGCCTGCAGAAGAACTCACTACTTTGGTAGCGCCTTGGCCATTTACTCAGTGGGGTCTCGACCTTTTAGGTCCATTTATGAAGGGGGTAGGAGGTGTAACCCATCTCATCGTTGGTGTGGGTTATTTCACAAAATGGGTCGAAGCTCGAGCACTATCCAGTCTTACCTCCAAGAAGGTTGAAGACTTTGTTTTCAGCTCGATTATTTGCAGATATGGGATCCCGAGTCAGATTGTAGCTTACAACGGAACTCAATTCAATTGCGCCTCATTCCGAGATTTATGTTCCAGCTACGGGATCAAACTGCAGTTCACCTCAGTTTACCATCCAGAGTCCAACGACATGGTCGAATATGTTAACAAATGCATCTTAGAAGGTATAAAGCCGAGATTGGAACAGCACAAGGCCAGATGGGCAGACGAGCTCAACAACGTCCTCTGGGCATACAGAACCACAAGCCGAACTACCACAGGTATTACTTTAAACCTGGTCTATTTGATTAAACTTTACATTGTTTTACTTCCTCTGCTACGGCTTTACCTTAGAACGAATACACATAACGCGTAAAGCGCATTCTAAAGTTATAATCAATTGAAATAGGTGAAACACCCTATCATCTGGCCTTCGGTACCGAAGCAGTCATTCCTATCGATATAGGAGTCCCAAGCTTCAGGGTCACCCATTTCGATGAAGGACGAAACAGACAACTGCTTCGGGAGAACCTTGATCTGCTTGATGAAGTCAGAGAAGAAGCACGACTTCGAACTCTAGTCTACAAGCAGAAAATAGCAAACTTTTACAACAAACGAGTTCGACCCCGCGCATTCAAAGTAGGAGACCTTGTTCTCAAGAAAACTGATCTAACGGGGTTTGAAACTCGATTTGGAAAGTTAGCACCAAACTGGGAAGGCCCCTACACTATAGCCGAAGTGCCACACCCCGGTGCTTATATCCTACAAGACACTGAGGGCAAAAAGGTTCCTAAAGTCTGGAATGCCAATAACTTGAAGAAATTTTACCCTTAATTTCAGTAAACTTTGTCTTATTTCTATAATCGCCATTATTCTGATTACTGTATACCGAAGCTCAATAATGAACTCCACTTCACATTTGAAGTGCTTCAGTCCTTTCATTGTGACTTATTCAGTCACTTTACTTCATTTGTTAGGTTATAATTTCTTTACCCTCACTTCTGAAGTGTTTTGCTTTATCTTTTGTCGTTTCTAGTCTGCCTCATATATATACATACCCAAGGTCAATTCCTCTCCTGTTCATTTTATTGTGTTCGAGGTCAGAACCTTGTGTTAAATGAAGATACTTTATCTGAAGTCATTCACTTTTATAAAATTGGATGCCAAGATTAAAAATCAAAACTTTTATACAATAAATCAAACATCAAATTACAAAAAATGTTTTTACAAAAATAATGCAAAAATTCCTAAGCTAATCTGTTGAGGGAGGAGGCTGCTCCTCAACAGGAAAAGGTGGTGGGGGTGGCTCATCTCCAGTAGGCGGGGGCGGCACTTCTGCTTCAGGAGGGGCTAGCTACTGCACCTCGTTAGAGGAGACTGGATGCACCTCGAGAGGCTGCACTTCGGCCATTACTGCCTGATCCTCAACTCCAGCGCCTTGCGCTCCTTCTTCTTCTTCTTCTTCTTCTTCTTCTTTTTCCTCCACGGCCACCAACTCAGCATCAAAGGCTGGAGGAAAAATGGTGCGCCCCTCTGCATCACGCTCCCACCTTAGCGTAATCTGAGGCGGAAGTCAGCAGAGAGGCTCTCACCATCTTCCTCCACCCCTTTTTCTTGCTCCCCAAAAGTGACCGTTGTCACGTCCACCTCCGGATACTGAGCCTTCACCTTCTTTCTACAGTCGGTGAAGGCCACGATGGTGGTAGGCAGCCGGTAGAGGTTGATGATGTTCTCGAACGTGCTGGAGTTGAGGAAGTTACCAATATGCTCCTTCATCCCATTGTGAACCAGCAGGTTCATATTCTTCTTCAGCTTCGCTGCTCCTTTCTTCAGGTTCTCAATATATTTATCCTGAGCCTCGAGCTTGTCTTCGCAGATCTTCCTCTTGCGTTCTTCGAGAACGAGTTTCGTGCTGAGGACATCATTGTCGTTCTGGAGTTCGGTAACTGAAGGAAGAACCTCATCCAGCCTCCTCTGCATCTCCCGCCTTTCCTTCTGCCACTCCTCCTTCTCCTTTTGTAGCTCCTCCCTCTCCTTCTGCAGCTGCTTGCACTGCCTCTGCAAGCTGGCACGATCTCTCACGCTCTCCGCGTACTCTTGCGCTAGAGCGTTTGTCCAGCTTGCACTCTGCAAGGTAAGCAGAAGTCAGACCTCAAACACAGGAGTAAAATTAAAGCAGGACTAACCTACATATCCCTTACATACCTCCAAGGCATGCCTCACCACAGTAGCTCCTAGCCGACTCACCGCCTCATCCCTCACCCGCCTCTTATCCACCTCAGGGAAAGTACAGTTGAGGAAGTGCTTCGCCCCAGTCGTGTTTGCCGCCTCAAACAAACTCTTCTTGTACAAATGAGGAGGGATGAGCTCCTTGCCCCTGCTAGGGCCTCGCACCTCGGCCCCTTCCCTCTCCCTGACCTCAGGATTGATTTCAGGAGCAGAGGGGCAAGGCATGAACTCAGTCACCTCATCCCCCCTCACCTCTGGTTCAGCCACCTTCCTTTTCTTCCTCTGGAGTGGTGCCACCTTTTCACTCACATCCTCACTATCCCCCCTTGCAGGCTCTGGTCTCTGTTGTAGCTTCAGCACTCGATCAGAAGTGCTGGGCATGCGCTCTTTCTCTGCTGCCCCTTTGTCTGCCGCAGTTGAAGTCTTTGACTTCTTCCTTGGTTTCTTGGGGATGCGCAGCCCTCCAGTAGCATTGATAAATTCGCCCATCTTAGCTGCAGAGCAAAAACAATTGTTAAAACACAATAGCTGGAAATTCAAGTAAGTGGTACAATATAAACATACACAAACTTTCGCTCAATGAGCTTGGCCCATAGAGCTCAACAACCTCTATTGCCTTATGACTGGTGAGGTACAAGATATCCACTACGTCTCCATCTTCCCTTACCAGCTTCTCCACCTCCTCCACCTCATCCTCGTTCAACTTATAGTTGTTCTGCTTGGTTTTCTTTGCTTTCCAAGCAGACAACTATTCCACTTCGGCATCCCTCCTGCTCTACTCGGTGTCATCCACAAAGAAGAATTTTTCTTTCCATCCTTTGATGGATGACGGTCCAGCAGTGAATAAATTCCTATTATCTTTGTTGGACGACCGAGGACCGAAGTAATACCACCCCTTCTCCCCCTGACCCCCAGCCTTAATTATAAAAAAATGTTTAAACATGTTTACTGTCGGGACCCCTACCCCCCGAACTCTGCAGTATACAAGAAAGCCTATTATTACCCTTATGGCATTTGGGGTTAATTGGGTTATTCCTATACTATAATCTAATAATAGCCCAACTAGTAATTCTGGAATGGGAAACCTAAGCCCTGCAATCAAATAATGGACGTAGAGGGGCATCCAATGGTCTCGGGGTGCTGAGTATGCCCTCTCATTCACCTCGGCAGGCTTAAGTAAAACGTGGTGAGGAAGGTTACAGTTACTCACGAGGCCCCTTAGACTATCCCTACTACCTAACTCACTCACATACCCCCTCACCTCAGACACTATCTCTAAATCTGGGTCATAACACCCATCTACACCACCTCCAGCCTCCAAAATGTTTGAAGGGATTTCATCTTCTTCCTCTTCTACCTCTACTACCCTTCGCCCCTTTATATCCTCCACTGTCCTCTCCGAACTAGTTGGAGATGGACTGCTCTCCGAGTCCATGCTCCCGTAATCCAAGGGCATCACCTCACTCCCCATTACACTCATGGCCTCTTCTGAAGACATCTTCTCAATTTCTGCATAGAGTGGGGGGAGGAACAAAGTCAGGACTCTTAACAATGCTAACACACTCAATATATTCTTACCCCCAACCCTAATTTCCTTCAAAAAACCCCAAATCAACCACAGAAAGGGAGAAAGAAGAACAGCACTTCGACCAAATCAAAATAAAAAATTCATAAACTTTACCTAATTTTGGTCTTGGAAACTGTTGTTGAAGTCTTGATTGAAGCGCAAACCGCACGAAACCGCAGAAATTTA